AGTTTAGCATGTTTTCATGACACTAGAATATTGAAGAAAATTATTTGACAATATTTTCATGGCCTGAATATATTTTTAACCTCATTGCTGTTTGGAGGCAGCAGCAATGCTGACTTTACCAGGTCACCGTTTATTCCACAAAATGAAGTTTCAAGTGATTCAAATTGGAAAAGTTATATTTTTAAGTTACCTTTCAAATGCCGCTGGTTTCATAATTTGTTTATAAGTATTGAGAGAGAAACACCAATTTTTCCAAAAGGTGACAGAATCTGTTCAGTTTTCTTATAAAAATCATTTGACCATCTTCGGCTGGTTTTCAGCCTTCACACTCTTCTGGAAATATGTTCTAAACTCAAAAAATTATCAAACTATTCTGACCATGCTTATTTTTAACACCATTTGAGGCCCCTTTTTATTTTTCAAACCTGGATCACCTGTGTTGGAGGTGAATGTAACTCACTGTCCCAGCAAACCAGTTTTCTTCCAAAAATTATTCCTCCATTTTAAAATCGTTTTTAGCCCTAGTATTCTCTCGAAATATTTTCCTAACTCGATGAACTAGCACCAGTTAAAATATTATAATGGTTGAACATCGTTTGGTATGGGTTATATATTTTTTTTGTTTGACCATACAGTGTTGAAAGGAGAAGTATGTGAATTCTTAAGAAATCTTGTGATGACTCCTAAGACACTCTATCACATTTATTTTGGTTGCTATATATGATTGTGTTGTGCTACATAAACATTATATCACTGTGATTCTCGAACTAAAACTCACACATGCATAAAAATATGAATTCAACAAAGTAAAGAAACACGAAATTGAACCGATGATACATTACAAATTTAAAAGTGATGGGGCGAGCCCGGTTTAGAACCTTGTGCAATGAGTTGCGAACCCTAACATGGCACAAGAAGGTATTTGGCTCTTATCGGTGTAAGCGATATAAGGTTGGTGGTGCGGGTGTCACAACATAGACCGTTCCCTTGGGGCAGACCGTGATGTCATGACTCGGGTACGTAACCCTGGTGCGTGGGCATCATTGGTAGTTACAGCAGATAACATTTGAATATTTGACCAAGGGGGAGTCAGAATTTCCCATGGCCATTGCTTAGCGGTTGAGTGGAAATAGTGTTCCGCAAGAGTTACTTAAATTTATCTAATAAACTAAATCTATGGGAATTTAAAAAGAAAAGCGTGCATTTTCCTTATGATGAATCACTATTTCCGTTCGCCATTTTATTTATTTATTTATTTATTTATTTATTTATCTATTGTTATTATTTTAATTGTTGGCATTCCTTATTATACTTATTAAATGCTACATGTTATTCTGTTATTACGCATTATTCATTAATTGTAAGTATTATTATCGGGTGGGTATTTTCGGATTGTAGTATATTACTGAGCTCGTCGCTCATTGGCATTCTCGTTGCCCTGGCGTTTTATGCCAGGTACCAAAGAAAACGAAGGAAACACCGAGGCCTTGCAAGGTGACATTCAGCCTTGGTTAGCTTGAAGAGTCCCCAAATTCCACGAACAATTTCCTATATTTCCTAGTTTTCGCTAGTTTTTCTTTCGTAGTTGTTCTATTTTCTTTTTGTGTACCGAGACTAAGTTTTAAGTTTTATTAGAATTGTAATTTGAAAACTTTTAATTTGGGGTTGTTAATTAATGGATATTAGTGATGTTTGGTGGCAACATTGATTTTAAATTCTAAATCTTATTATGATGTCCTTAAAAATTTGGGGCGTCACACATGTAGTAGCTACAAAAAGTCAAATGAACCAAAAAAAAATATTCGCAACTAAAACTTTGGTTACCCTAGATGATTCAAGTTTTGGTGACAAAAATTTTAGTAGTTGAAACTGTGATATTAAGGGTCCGTTTGGAAAGATGGTTTGTGGCTAAAATTGCCACAAAAGACAAAATAGGCTATTTTAGCCACAACAAACAAAACATCACATCCAACCCATAATCATTACACTCTTCTCTCACAAAAAAAGTAAAAAAAAAAACCAAAAAGCCAAAAAGTCCTTCCCAAACTAAGCCTTTTAGCCCAGGCTAAAATAGCCAAAAAAACCAAAACGTCAAAAAGCCAACCCACTTCGCAAACCAACCCTAAATTAAATTGTAAGCTTTTGGTGACTAAAAGATTAGTCGACAATTTAGCCTATCAACGACTAAAGATTTTTTTTGTCGCCAATACCTTTACTTTTGACGACTAAAAAATTAGCTGCCAATTTAGGACTTTCGGCGACTAAATATTTTTTAGTCACCAATATCTTCCCCAACAATCTTCCCGCGACAAAGCCACAACCAAAATATTTAGTCGAAAAAACTTTTCGGCTACTAAAATCTGACTTTTGACAACAAAAATTTAGTCGTCAAAAGTGTAATTTCTTATAGTGTTCCTGACCACTTGACAGCCTTGATCATTTCACCCCAACGCTGAACCCGCCCACCAAAATGCATAATGGGGCAATTTTGGCTAGTCCATTTCAAATTCCTTTCGAATAACAAATTTCATTCGAAAGCAATGTGGCAAATATATGTTGTATACAATGCAGGACTAGCTTACTTCGACTCAGTACAACCACAATTTCATACTAGCTCAAGGGCAAGAAATCAACTTAACAATTTGCTTCAACGTGCTCCACTCGGCAATTCCTTACAAAGGAGCAATGCTATTTTTTAATACTCTACCGCTGGAGTAAGTTTTTCAGCTTTCTACTTTTTTGTGCCTAACAAGTCCGAAATGTGGGTTTTTCGAAACTTTTGATAATTTTTTGGCTAGACATATGTTACATTTTTAGTCCTGTGGCCAATCTTTTTGTTTAGGACTTAGGCCTTGATTGGGGTTTGACTTTTTTAGTAATTTTTTGAATTTTTTTAGTTAAAAAAAAAAGTTCGTGATTTTTTTTTTTAAAATTGTATATATAAAAAAGAAAATTGAATTATTGATATGTATGACTTGCATGTTTGAGTAGTTTTTTTTTTTTTAAAAAAAAAATTAAATAATTTGACTTATGAAGTTTTTTTTAATTATTTTTGTAGTCAAAAAATCAAATCGGCAGACATGACGTATTATAAGATCAAACAGCTCACTAGCTAAATGCTAGCAAGGCAAATTTTCACTTAGTAATTATGTAACAATTGCAACATTTTGAGTTCAAATCTTAGAGCATCTTTAATAGTTGTTGCTATATTGTTATTGTTATTGTTATAATTGGTAATAAATAGTGTTATCTTGTCAAATTATAGCAATGGTCCTCTAATGGTCATTTGCTATTTTGGCAAATCTCAACCAACTTTCTCACCAAGTTTGTAAGTATTGTTTAGATATAGGTTTTTTTGTGATTTTAGTTTTGTTTATTTTTTATCTTTTGTGACCTTTTTTTATTGTTTGTAAAAAAAATTATATATTTATATTATTCTCGACTAGACAAATATAAAAAATTTAAAAAATAAAAAATTGGGAAAAAAATATATTTAATGTCTTTTTATTATAATAAAATTATCTTCATTTAATTTCAATTATTTATTTTTTTATTGCCTTCATTTCAAAAATATATATTTATTTTTCATTATACTTTATTGAAAAATTTATACAAATATAAACTAAATTTTCATTATACAAATGTAAACTAATTTTTTTTTTTTTAAAGCTAAACAGAGCACAACGGCTCTATCAATTGTCATCACCACCGTCCACGTGTTGCTCTTGAATGGTTGAGATGATTTGTGTAGAATCATCCAATATTTTCTTTCTCTCTCTCTCTCACTGTCTCTCTCATTCCTCTTACTCTCAGACTCATCCAACATTTGTGTAGAATCACTCAACATTCTCTCTCTCTCCGTCTCTCTCTCTCTCTCTCTCTCTCTCTCTCTCTCTCTCTCTCTCAAATTCATCTCTCTCTTCTCGATCGGCGATGAAAAAGGTTGAATCTTCTCACTCTCACTCTCACTCTCTTCTTTGTCTTTCTCTCTCTTACCATTTCCTCCTCCCTGTCATTCTCAGTCTCCATGTCTCTCTCTCACTCTCAGATTCATCTCTCTTCTCTTTCTGTTCGAGCCGTGATAGTGTCGATCTCTCTCACTCTCAGTCTCACTGTCATTGTCACTCTCACTCTCTTCGATCGGCGATAAAGAAGATTGAAACCACATATTTCTCTCACCCCTCTCTGTCACTCTCTGTCTGACTCCAACAATGGATCGAAAATGAAGAAGATTGAAACCCTAATGATGAACACAAAGAAGATCATCCAAAGAGCAAAGAAGATCAACCCATTTATGTCAGGTATTTTTTTTTTCCTCATTGTGTTGATTTTCTAATTTTTTTTTAATTTTCTGTGAAATTGTTGGTGAAATTGGTTGGTGAAATTGATGAAATTGATTTTCTAATTTTCTGTGTTTGGAAATTGTTGGGTGAATTTTGAAAATTTGGAAATTTTGGAAGCTGCTTCAAATTGGTGAAAATTAGGCTTGGTTTGGCATAACCAAAAATTCAAAAAGTCACTATCTTATTTAAGTCATATCATCTTATTTAAGTCACATCACCTCTCTACCATATCACTTCAAACCCAACTCATACTTCATAAAAAGTCAAAAAGTGTACTTTTTTAGTTTATCCCAAACAACCCTTTAATTTTTTTTTGAATTTTGGAAATTGGTGGGTGAATTTTAGAAATTTAGAAATTGTTGGGTGAATATTGTTTGGAAATTTGAAAAGGATGATGAAACTGTAGAGTATGAATATTGAAACCGTGTTTGGAAAGGATGACAAAAATGGAGGAAGGAAAGGAAGAAACAATTGGTTGAAAATGACTTGGCAGTTTTGGCTTATGTCATATTTGACACAAATTTTGACATTTATCAAAGATAACAGCTGCCAAAAATTATCATTGAAACTGCCTTTCACTGCTCCCATAATTTGCCAATAACACCTCCAATACATATAGAAATTTGATACAGTTATCCCTGCCACTATTAACAACGAACATTTAACCCATGTGCATGAAAAATAAATAAAAATAAATAAATAAATGCTAGTTAGGCCTGTGGTCCCAAATTTTTTGGAGTATGTACTGCTGGTGCATTCTCACTGCCTGCCAGCCTCCCCCCTTCATATTTCATCACAGTAGCAATGAGTTCCACATCTCCCGTAGTTTCTGCTTCCTCTCTCTCTCTCTCTCTCAACTCTCTGACAAAAAAAACAAAAACAAAAAATGGTCCAATCAAAGAAGTACAGAGGTGTCAGGCAACGCCACTGGGGTTCTTGGGTCGCTGAGATTCGCCATCCTTTACTGTAATTACATCTTTCTCCATCTATTTTTACCGTATATATCTACTATATATTTGTATATTACACATTCTTGACAATTTTTCTCACTTCACTTCCTTTTTTTTTTTTTTCTTTTTTGTGAATTTATATTTTGTATTTGCAGGAAGAGGAGGGTGTGGTTGGGCACTTTCGAGACCGCTGAAGAGGCGGCGCGTGCCTACGACGAGGCTGCCATTCTCATGAGCGGCCGAAACGCCAAAACAAACTTTCCGATCACCACCGCCAGCCAATCCACCGATGACACGTGCCCAGCATCGTGGACAGTAATGTCGTCGGTGTTGAGCACGAAGCTTCGGAAGTGCTGTAAGTCTCCGTCGCCATCTCTCACTTGCCTGAGGCTTGACCCGGATAACTCCCACATCGGAGTTTGGCAAAAGCGGGCCGGGTCACGCTCCGACTCCAACTGGGTCATGATGGTGAACCTTGACAACAAAACCGATCCAGCACCGCCGGAACAGGACCTGCCGGCGGTGGAGAAGACGCCAGAAGAGTCGCGGCCATTGTTGGCGGCGGAAATGGGAGATGGGTTGGGAGAAGAGGAGCGGATGACTTTGCAAATGATAGAGCAGCTCTTGAACAGGAATTGATGACCTAGTATTACCGATCAAGTGCTCGTAGATAATTTTTTTTGAGTCCATCCATACGAATTTTATCCCATTGGGATATTCGTAAGTAGACGTTGAAATTGGTCGTCGGTCTAAATGGTCTGAATATGAACAATCATATTAATAATTTTATTAACACAGTTACAAATTAATGTGAGTTTCATATTTAGTAATGATTGATCTTATCAAAATTTGTAGATGTATTAATAAGATTATTAGTGAATAAATGTATTAATAAGATGGCAGTGGCTTTGGTCCAGTCCAATGTTAGGCCCGTGGGGACTTATCACGGGTTCCGTTTTGATAATTCAAACTGTTCAATGTGTAGAACTCGTCGAGTACATATGCCTGTAAAAAGTTACGTTGATCGGATATCAATATCTATGTGAACAAAATAGTTTTTTATCAACCGTTAATTGTTTTACCGACTATTTTTTTTATACAAAACTGATTTGATCACATAACTATTTATATCGATCAACGTAATTTTTTACAAGCATGTAGTATTCGACGAGTTCTACACATTAACGATTCAAATTATTAAAACGGACCCGAAAAATAAATCCCATAAGCCAAATTAAATGAGTCTAATTTTAATTACAAGCTGACTTAATAAGATTATCAGTGAATACATAAATATTCCTAATATTGTTATAAAAAAAATATATATATAAAAATAAATGACCCGTAGACATGGGAGCTAGGTATCCTTCCTTGCGTAGTCACGGTCAAGTGCCGTGTTTGTCGAGCAAGGATATTTTCCTGGATCTCTCTATTTGGTTCACCACGTTGGTTATTGATTTTATTTTTAGTTAAATTTTAAGCCACCGATCGGTAACATTTACATTTTTAATTTTTTATTTATATTTATAAAAATTTTAAAAATTTAAATAAAAATTTGTTTAGTAAAATTTTTGATTTATAAATCAGTGATCTCAGTTTATAAATTTGGCCAAAAAATAAAATTACAAAAAATGTGTTTTCATTGAGTTTTCAGTTTTTTTTTTTTACCACCCAATACTAGCCACCACCCGCCACCATTTTCCACCACCGTCTTCCGTCACCACTACCACCTATCACCCACCCCCCACCACCACCTGCCACCACCACTCACCACCCATCTACCACCACCACCCACTACCTGCCACCCACTTCGCACCACACCCCCCACCTACCACCACCACTCACCACCACTTGCCACTACCACCCACTCGCCACCGGCCACCACCCACCCACTCGCCACCACCACCACCACCACCACCACCTACCTGCCATCCACCCCCCCACCCACCACCACCACACCACCACCCTGCCACCTACTTGCCACTACCACTCACCCCCCTGTCACCTTCTAGCCACCTGCTACCACCTGCACCACCACCCACACCCACACACACCACCACTACCCACCACCCATCTTCTCCACTCGCTACCACCTACCACCCGCCACCAACCACCACCACCACCATCACCCATTACCCACCCGCCACCCACCTGCCACCACCACCCACCACCACCTGCCCTGCCCCCCCCCACCACCACCACCACCACCACCACCCACCCACTCGTTACCACCTACCACTCGCCACCGTCACCCACCCACCCACCCACCACCCGCCACCACCAGCTACCCACCACCCACCGTCACCACTTTCCACCACCGTCTTCCGCTGCCACTTACCACCACTTGTCATTTCTCACTCTTTTTTATATTTTTAAAATTTTTTAAACATTTTGTCAATTACCAAACGCGTTTATAGTTTATGTTTTTCTAAAAATAAACAAAATCAGTTTATAAAATTTTTGTAAATATAAACTGAAAACGTAAATGTTACCAAACGCATCCTAATGATTCGGATTATTTATGTTTTAAAATTTATTGAGTATATTATATTTGTAAAAAATTAAATTAATTGAATATCAAAAATTACGTATTCAGATTAACGAACTAAAAATCATTTATAAAAAAAATTAATAAACAATTTTATTTTTTAATAAAACTTTTAATTCGGTAATCCAAATATGTAGATTGACTTTATTTTTTTATAAAGATGAAATACTCGACAAATTCTAAAATATGAACAATTTGAATTATTGAAACTAATTCAATAATCTATCAAATGAAGAGCCAAGTAGAGAGATCTAAAAAGAAGAAATCGTGTTTGTGTTTTTAGCTCAGACAAAAAGTTGGTGTGTGTGACTTTTTTTTATGTGAAAATTGTTAGGTATGCCTCCTTATTGGAGTTTGAGACCCAATTGATTTTGGTTAAAGAATTTTAATTTGGTTTGGTTTAGGTATAATATATTTTAATATATTATATCTAATTTGTGAAAACCTAATTCAGTTTGGTAACAACTAGAATTTTGATAAAATAATCCTAAGATTTAATAATATATATATATAGATATATTGTTATGTTCGGCCCGAGATATAGCAGAGGCTACAGTTTGATATTGATATTGTTTCTTCCGAAGCAGAGGATAGCAATTTTGTCATCACATAAATTCAATTCGGTGAGTGTGCTGGAAGAATTCATTGGTTTTCAAGGGTTGGTGCTTATTTGGCTACTTCGGTGGAGTTGATTTGGGTTAATTATTTTAGGTCTTCTACAACTCTAGTTCTGAAGATTTTGGTTTATCTATTTGTGAGATCTTTCCTCTTGTTTATTTGTGATTATTTAGAATTTACCTAAGGGTGATTTTGTGAGACCATTCGTATCTCGTTTGTAATCGTTTGAAAACTCTTTGGTTGATAGTGGAATCGGATTTCGATCCCGCGGACGTACCTTACATTGAGGGAACCACGTAAAAATTCTTGTGTTGCTTTTGATTTAATTTTTCCGCATTAGTTTTTATTCTCATTGATTGATTTACTTGTGGGAAATCACATATTTTTCCTAACAATTGGTATCAGAACTTATAGTTTATTTGGGTTTAATTATTTGTGTAAATCAATGGAGGGGAATGTGGGTCCTATGTCTAGCTTCAATGGAAGCAATTGAGTAACTTGGAAAACTAAAATTGAGGACCTATTATTTTGTAAAGATTTGTATGGACCCATTGAGGGTGATAGTGGCAAACCTGAGGGTATGAAAGATGATGAATGGAAGAGGCTTAATCAAAAAGCCGTTGGTGTTATCTGTCAATAGATTGATGACAGTGTGTTTCATCATGTTGCTACTGAAACTTCGGCACATGATTTATGAAAAAAATTAGAGAGTCGTTAAGACAGAAAATCAGCCACAAATAAAGCCTTTTTGTTTCGTAAGTTGGTTAATTTAAAATATAAAAATGGCAGCCCCATTCTAGAATATTTGAATGAAATAAAGAGTATTGTTAACCAACTTGCTTCTATGAAAATTATTTTTGATGATGAGTTGCAGGCTTTGATGCTACTTAGTTTTTTGACCGAAAGTAATAAAGCCTTTATGTTTCGTTAGTTGGTTAATTTAAAATATAAAGATGGCAGCCTGATTCCAAAACATTTGAATGAAATAAAGAGTATTGTTAACCAACTTGCTTCTATGAAAATTATTTTTGATGATGAGTTGTAGGCTTTGATACTACTTAGTTTTTTGACCGAAAGTTGGGAGACTTTGGTTGTGACAGTTAGTAATTCGACACCCGATGGAGTTGTCACAATGGGCCAAGTCACTAGTAGCTTGTTGAATGAAGAAACTAGAAGAAAATCAGCGGGTTCCTCTCATTCAAAAGCGTTTTTTATGAGAGGCCGAAACAAAACAAGGGGGAGGAGTAAGACTCCTCATAGTCGTGATCAAAGCCATAACAAATCAAAAGATGGTTCTTTTCAAAGAAAGACATTGAGTGCCATTATTGCCATGAGAAAGGGCACATGAAAGGAGAATACCGAAAACTCAAGAACAAGGAGAAAAGGCGTGACAAAAGTGTGGATAAAAAGCAAGAAGACACAACGGCAGTTACTATCGATGATCGCATGGTCGTTTGTAAAGATGATTGTATCAATTTTGTGGGCCAAGAGAGCAAATGGGTGATTGATTCCGGTGCTTCTTTTCATGTGACTTCTCGAGTTGATTTCTTCACTACCTACACCAAAGGAGATTATGGTTCTGTTTGAATGGGTAATGAAGGTTTGTCCAAGATTATCGGCATGGGTGATGTTTGCTTGGAAACAAATTTGCGCTGCAAGTTGTTGCTTAAAGATGTGAGGCATGTTCCTGACATTCGCCTCAATTTGATCTCTACTGGGAAGCTAGATGATGAAGGCTTCAACAACAAATTTGGTAATGGAATATGGAAGCTCACAAAGGGTTCTTTGGTGGTGGCTAAGTGCAAGAAGACTCATACACTTTATTTGATGCATGAAAAAATTTGTAAAGGTGTTGTCAATGCACTTCAAGATAATACTTCTACCGAATTGTGGCACTAGCAGCTTGGCCATATGAGTAAAAAAGGGCTACAAGTTTTGTTCAAGAAAGAGCTTCTGCCGGTTTGAAAGGTACACATCCTAAAACTTGTGTTCATTGTTTGGCGGGTAAACAACATAGAGTTTCTTTTCATAAAAATGTTGCTTCTAGAAAAGAAAATGTGTTGGAGTTGATTCATTCAGATGTTTGTGGTCCTTTAAAAGTTAAAACACATAATGGTGCACTTTATTTTGTTACTTTCATTAATGATTATTCAAGGAAAGTTTGGGCTTTTCTACTAAAAACTAAAGATCAAGTTCTAAAAATATTTAAACATTTTCAGGCCATGGTTGAAAGAGAAACAGGGCAGAAATTGAAGTGCATCCGATCAGACAATGGTGGTGAATACATTGGGCCATTTGATGAGTATTGTCGTGGCCAAGGTATTCGGCACCAAAAGACAGTTAAAAAGACTCCTCAACAAAATGGCGTTGCTGAGAGGATGAACCACACCATTGTGGAAGAACAAGGTGTTTGCTTTCACAAGCTAAATTGCCAAGATCCTATTGGGGTGAGGCAATGAAGACAGCGGTTGACGTGATCAATTTGTCTCCTTCCTATCCTTTGAATGGTGATGTTCCAGAAAGAGTTTGGACCGGTAAAGATGTATCTTATGAGCTCTTGAGAGTGTTTGGTTGTCGAGCTTTTGTTCACATTCCAAAGGATGAGAGGTCCGAGCTTGATAGTAAGTCAAGACAATGTATTTTTCTTGGCTATGGGCGTGATGAAGCTCATCCATGAAACTCAACAACTGACTCTTACCAGCACTGACCATCACTTCACTCAGACCAATACATACTCCCTGTTGGTGGAGAGAAAATTGGATTTGCGGACTAAAACAAAAATTAAAAAATGAGAGATTAATAGATATAAATCTAAATTGTTTTCTTTATCATTGTATCCTATGTTATTTTGTTCACACTTATAATGTCTTTTATATGTGCCTAAGTGATGGACACTTGAGTATACCAATTGTCCGAAGTATTTTCGGGTCTAGAAAGATCTGACATGTCAGTGTCAACAAGGACATGCCACCCTCTTAGAAGTGTGTATGTGCTTCTTAGATCACTACTACAATTTACATTGCCTATGCTACGCTATTAATTAAGATAAACAGTCATGATATCCATACTAATTTAAAACAACACCAAGAATGTAAACAATAACAAGTGAAAAAAGAAAAAAGGAAAATGTTGCCAACATATATTTTTTCTGCAATAAGTCAACCAAATGTTGCCAAAACAAGAGAAACCTATTTGTCAGCCATGTCTTCAGAGATAGTGGGTTTTCAAATTGAAGAATGATAGCAAGAATCTGAGGTATAAGGCACGTCTTGTTGTAAAAGGCTTTGGGCAAAAGAAATGTATTGACTTTGATGAAATTTTCTCGTGGATGTGAAAAATGTCTTCTATTCGGGTTGTACTTGGCATGACTGCAAGTATGAACCTTGAAGTTGAACAACTTGATGTGAAGACCGCATTTCTTTATGGTGATCTTGAAGAAGAAATTTACATGGAGCAACCGGAAGGTTTTATAAAAAAAGGAAAAGAGAAATTTGTTTGCAAATTGAAGAAAAGTTTGTATGGTCTCAAGCAAGCCTCGCGACAATGGTACAAAAAAATTGACTCTTTCATGATGAATAATCATTTTTCTAAAACCACTTCGAACCATTGTGTGTTTGTGAAAAATTTCCCGGATGGTAAATTTATTATTCTTTTGCTTTATGTTGATGACATATTAATTGTGGGTCAAGATTCTACCATGATAAACAGGTTAAAATTGGAGTTAAGCAAGTCTTTTGCTATGAAAGATTTGGGACCGGCAAAGCAAATACTTGGTATGAAAATTGTTCGTGATCGCAAAGAGGGACTGATTTGGTTGTCTCAAGAAAGCTACATTGAGAAGGTTCTTGAGAGATTCAACATGGATAAAGCAAAGCCAGTTGGTTGTCCACTTGCGGGTCATTTCAAACTTAGTTCGAATCAATGTCCTATAAGTGAGAAAGACAAGGAAGAGATGTTGAAAACTCCTTATGCTTCAACAGTTGGTTCTTTGATGTACGCCATGGTTTGTACAAGGCCGGATGTTGCTCACGCCGTTGGTGTGGTGAGTCGGTTTCTCTCTAATCCGGGTAAAGAACATTAGGCAGCGGTAAAATGGATTCTAAGATATCTTCGAGGAACTTCGAAGGTGTGTTTGTGTTTTGGGAATGGTAAGCCAATACTTGATGGGTTTACAGATTCTGACATGGCCGGTGATGTTGATTCTAGGAAATCTACTTCGAGGTATTTGATGACTTTTGCAGGGGGAGCTATGGCATAGCAATCTAAATTACAAAAATATGTTGCTCTCTCAACTACCGAAGCTGAATTTATTGCCATTACAAAAGCTTGCAAAGAAGAGTTATGGTTAAAGAAATTTTTGCAAGAATTGGGTTTGAAGCAAGAAAGGTATGTGCTTTATTGTGATAGTCAAAGTGCTATTCACTTGAGCAAAAATTCTACTTTTCATTCGAGATCGAAACATATTGATGTGAGATACCATTGGATTCGTGATGTGTTAGATTCGAAATTGTTACAACTCGAAAAGGTTCACACAGATGATAATATTTCGGATATGTTGACTAAGACTTTGTCGAGGGACAAACATTTAAAGTGTCGAACTTTGGTGGGTATGGTTGATATCTCCACCTAAGTTGGTAGGGGGAGAATTGTTGGGTATACCTCCTTATTGGAGTTTGAGACCCAATTGGTTTTGGTTAAAGAATTTTAATTTGGTTTGGTTTAGGTATAATATATTTTAATATATTATATCTAATTTGTGGAAACCCAATTCAGTTTGGTAACAACTAGGATTTTGATAAAATAATCCTAAGATTTAATAATATATATATAGATGTATTGTTATGTTCGGCCCGAGATATGGCAGAGGCTACAGTTTGATATTGATATTGTTTCTTCCGAAGCAGAGGGTAGCAATTTTGTCATCATATAAATTCAATTCGGTGAGTGTGCTGGAAGAATTCATTGGTTTTCAAGGGTTGGTGCTTATTCGGCTACTTCGGTGGAGTTGATTTGGGTTAATTATTTTAGGTCTTCTACAACTCTGGTTCTGAAGATTTTGGTTTATCTATTTGGTGATGTCTTTCCTCTTGTTTATTTGTGATTATTTTGAATTCACCTAAGGGTGATTTTGTGAGACCATTCGTGTCTCGTTTGTAATCGTTTGAAAACTCTTTGGTTGATAGTGGAATCGGATTTCGATCCCGTGAACGTACCTTACATTGAGGGAACCACGTAAAAATTCTTGTGTTGCTTTTGATTTAATTTTTCCGCATTAGTTTTTATTCACATTGATTGATTTACTTGTGGGAAATCATATATTTTCCCTAACAAAAATTAACAGTTATTGGTAAAAATGTCATTGTATTATCAAAAAGAAGAAAGTATGGTTTTATATTGAAACACTGAACGTGTAGAAAAATAAATCATTCAATTATTTTCTTAACATATTATTAAATTTAAAAAATAAAAATTTATATATTATTTTTTATATATAATATACTTATAAGTTATATCGATGTGATTATGTGGGATTTAAAAATAAATGAATTAGGTTTTATCACAACCTTCTTAAGGGATGTGGGTTGACTTTTTGACTTTTTTAACCTGGGGCTAAAAAGCCTTGTTTATGATAGGCTTTTTGACTTTTTTGCCTTTTGTAAGAGAAAAAATGAAATGATTATGGGTTGGATGCAATATTTTGTCCTATTTGGTTAAAATAAACTATTTTTTCATAAGGCATCTCAAACGAGTTCTAACTTTCTTTAACTTCTCATTTTTACACATTTGAAGTGTTATATGCATGGTTATAAATAGGGTTGGGTGTAGGGTTATTCGAATAGCACAAGCCATCCAACCCCGAACTGATCCGCATACAATTGAGTGGTTTCGCAGACACAATGCAGGCAGATGCAGTTTGGAATATGACATGATTGCGGGTTGCGAGTTTAACTTGCACCCACAAGAACCCGCCTGCATTTACTTTTTATTTTTATTTTTAAACCTAGACAGTTATTATTTTATTATTGCATTTTGGATAAATGTAGAAGTTAATGAAGAATTAATTTTAGATGAGCTTAAGATTTTGAATGATTTTACTTTAATTGTATTGTTGGGTGATAGATAGTGAATGAGATTAATGATCTAGTTTAGGATTTTGAAAGATGTGCTTGTTTTAGTTTATTGTTTGATTTAAAAGTTTAGGATTTTGAATAATTTGTTTGTGTTAGGAATTGATTTTGTTGTGTTTTTAACTTTATAAGTTTTAATTTATTAATTATTAATGTTGGAGCATTTTAGAAAATAGAGGGGAAAAGTACCCAAAATAAATATTTACAAAATGGGAAAAAAAAGAAGGTTCTAAAATAAATTTTTAAAGAAAAAAGTTCAATCTGCGAACCCTATCCGAATAAACCGCTGAAGAGAAAAGAGAAAGAGAGAGAAAAACTAAAAAGATATTATTTAACAAAAATGAATCAATTTCACTTTACAAGAGCAGATCTCTAGATTTATAGACACAACAGTATAACCGTCTTAACAAGCTAACAAATAGTTGTTAAATGGGTTTTCTAACATACACACCTCTTTGACTAAGATGCACTAAACTACCCTTAACCTACATACACTATAGAGCTCTGGGACAATTGCTGCTGCTAAGACTTACCAATCGTAGACCACAAGTCCTTGGGTTGCTGCTACTGCTTAGACTTGGCAGACTTAGACCTGTCTTCATTGTCATTGTTGGGAAGCATGGCATTGACACTGGAGATTAAGCTGCACTTGTCATCAGCCCCCCTCAAGCTGAAAGAAGGAAGATCAACTAGAAGCTTGGATTGGAGGAAAAGAAATTTGTTGATAGGGAGAGCTTTACTGAACACATCAGCAATCTGATCTGAAGAGGCAACATGCCGAATAAGAAGTTGTTTAGCAGATACCTTTTCTCTGACAAAATGATAATCAATTTCTATATGTTTTGTCCTGGCATGAAAAACAGGATTGGAGGCCAAAGACAAGGCAGACAAATTATCACACCAAAGCACAGGAACAGAAGAAGAGATATGCATATCATGAAGCAACATCTGAAGCCAAGACACCTCAACTGTAGCTTGAGCCATGGACCTGTATTCAGCTTCAGTAGAGGACCTAGCCACAGTGGGCTACTTCTTAGCAGTCCAAGAAACTAGATTAGAACCTAGATAAAGACAAAGGCCAGAAATAGATCTTCTATCACAAGGACTACTAGCCCAATCAGCATCTAAAAAGGCGTGAAGATCAAAAGAAGTGGAAGAAAAATGCAAACCTTGATAGAGGGTCCCTTGAACAAATCTGAGTAGGCGTTTAACCTTAGCAAAATCATCTTGAGAAGGAGTTTGCATGTGTTGATAGGCCTGATTCACAGCAAAGGCCAAATCTTGGCGAATGATGGTCAAATATTGCAAGCCACAAACAAGACTTCTATAAAGAGAATGATTGGAAAAAGTTAGAAAAGAGAATGAAGAGATAGAAAAAGAGGAAGGAAGACTAAAAGAAGAAGGAGCAGGCTTACCATCAGTCATGTTGCTTGGTTAAACAACTTAGAAGCATAGTGAGACTGGGATAAGAAAAAACCAAAAGAAGAAGCTATAACTGAAATACCCAAAAAGAAAGAGAGAGAACCCAGGTCTTTGAGAGAAAAAATATAATAAAGCTGAGAGATTAAGGACTGAATATGAGAAAAAGAGTTACCAGTGACAAGAATGTCATCAACATAGACCAAGAGATAAGTAAAAGTGGTATTAGTAGTTTGAATAAACAAGGAATTGTCACAATGACTAGTAACAAAGCCTAGTGAAAGCAGAAAAGAGGAAAAAGTAGAAAACCAAGCTTTGGGAGCTTGTTTAAGACCATAAAGAGCCTTGTTTAATCTACACACATGAGTAGGAAATTAAAGATCCTCAAAACCAGGTGGTTGAATCATAAAAACCTCTTCTTCAAGTTTGCCATGAAGAAAGGCATCAGAGACATCCAACTGCTTAATAGACCAATGAAAATAAAGAGCAACACAAAGGAAAACTCTAATGGTTGGTTGCTTGGCTACAGGGATAAAGGTATCTAAGAAATCAACACCAACCTTTTTAAGATAACCCTTAGCAACCAATCTGAATTTGTACCTAGCAATAGAGCCATCTGAATTCTTTTTGATTTAAAAGGCCCATTTACAACTAACAACATGTTGATGAACATGAGGAGAAACAAGAGTCCAAGTCTTCTAAGTTTGAAGAGCTTGAAATTCTTCAAGCATAGATTGATGCCAATGAGGACACAACAGAGCATCTTTATAGGTTTGAGGCTCAGTGTCAAGAAAAGTAGCGAGCAGACCAACTTGGGAAGAGATGGTTGTCTTACTTCGAGTGAGCATAGAATGAGAATTGAGAGAGCGAGAAGAAGGATGAGGAAGAATAGTAAGATTAATACCAGGTGGAGAAGAAGATAAAGGAGATGAGATAAATCCAGGATTATTTAAGACAGGGCTAGAAGCATAAGGTAAAAAGGTAGGAACATGAACTGAAACAAAATCAGAATGATTTGGTGTATGAGAAGATGGGAAAGAAACATGAGGAGAAGCTGAAGCTGAAACAGAAAAGGAATAGATAGCAATCTGAGAAGAAGACAAAGTAGTAGTGCCCCAAAAGAATGACTTAATAGTAGATTTGAAAGAGAGAAAAGGTAGTGAAGAAGAATCATAACAAGCAAAGGGAAAAGAAGATTCATCAAACACAACATGTCAAGAGAAAAGAAGATTATACCAGAACTAGGGTCCAAACATTTATATCTCTTGTAGCTTGGATGGTAACCAATGACTACATAAGCCTTGGATCTTGATTGCAATTTGTGAGAAGTATAAGGCTTTAACCATGGATAACATTTGCAGCCAAAGATTTTGAGAAAACCATAGTCTAGAACCATTTGAAACAAAACCTCATAGGGACTGAGATTATCCACTTGAGGAGAAGGCATTCTATTTATCAAATAAATAGCAGTAGCAAGAGCCTCAAACCAAAATTTCAAAGGCATTGATGATTGATCAAGCAATGTGATTGTTGTCTCAATAAGATGTTTGTGCTTTCTGTCAACAACTCCATTTTGAGATGGAGTACGAGGACAACTAAGCTGATGAACAATTCCAAAAGTTTTGAGAAAAGCCTCAAATTGACCATTAGTATATTCTCCTCCCCCATCAGTTCTTAAAATTTTAAGAGAGGTGGAAAACTGATTTTCAGCATATGATTTAAATTCTAAGAACTTAGAATATACTTCACTTTTATAAGAAAGTGGATAAAGCTAGGTAAAATGATTAAAATCATCCATAAAAATAACATAGTAAGTAAAGTAAGCATGAACTTTAGTAAAAGGGCCCCAAACATCTGAGTGAATTAGAGTAAGAGGAGCATGAGTTTTATTAGATGAGAGTACAAAAGGGAGTCTATGACTCTTAGACACACAACAAGAATGACAAAAAGTATTACAATCTTTATGACTAAGAGACAAGCCACTTTTATTTGCAATGGTATGAAACACAGCAGAAAAAGGATGCCCTAGTCTCTTATGCCAAATAGTAGCTAGAGAACTAGTACCAGAAAAAGCTTTAGGAGAAAATGAAGAAGAAAGAAACTGGTAGAGGCCATTTTGATGATGTCCTCTACATAGTACCTTGTTGGTGAGCTTGTCCTGAATCACAAATAACTCATTGTCAAAAGTAATGCTACAATTATTATCAGAAGTACACTGATGAACAGACAACAAATTTGATGATATTTGTGGTACATGAAGAAGATTATTAAGCCTAAATTGAAAAGAATGAGAGGACAATATACCAATGCCAGAGTTATGAATTGGAAGAGTATTGCTATCACCAATCATTACTTGATATTGTCCTTGGTAAGGTTGTTAAAAATGAAGATTGTTCATATCATTTGTAAGATGAAAAGTTGCAGTAGAATCAACATACCATGGTGCTGAAGAGGACTGCATAGGTGTGGACATAGCAGGAAAAAGAGTATGGGCAAAAAAGGCTCTAGGAATAAAGGAAGGCATTTGTGAAGGTCCCATGGTATAAGAAGGAAACACAGTTGAAATGAGGTATTCAGTTGATGCCTACACTCTAAGGCAGAGTGATTTTTTTTTCCATAGATTTGATAGATCAAGCCATAGCTCTGAGGTCTGCCTCCTCTTCTGCCTCTTTGGTTATTGTACCTACCACCTCTAGACTGGTAGCCTTGAGATCTATTACCTCCTCTGTTTTGAAAAGAGAAATTACGAGAGGAAGATTGACCAAATACTGTTGATTCTGATGAGACAAAACAAGCACTACTACAAAAACAGATAAAGATCACACTTTTTTGTGTGATCTATGTTATTTAATCACACTTTTTAAGTTTTGTCAAAATGTGATCTTTGGGAGTGTGACTAAAAATGGATCATTTTTAATCACACGTTTTAAGTGTGATTAATAACATTTAGATCACATCTTTTAAGTGTGATTAAAAACTAATAAAAACTGTAATAATAAATATTTAGATCACATTTTTTAAGTGTGATTAATAACTAATAAAACCTGTGATAATAAACATTTAAACCATATCTTTTAAGTGTGATTAATAATATTAGATCAAATCTTTTAAATGTGATCAATAACTAATAAAACCTGTGATAATAAATATTTAGATCACAGATTTTAAGTGTGATTAATATCTAATAAAACCTATGATTAATAATGAGATAAGATCATACGTTATGTGCATTTTTCATCACAATTAATGCATGTGATAAAAAAAAAGGATTCGATATATTTGAAGAATAATCAATATTATTTTTGTACACACATTTGAAGAATGTAATACACACTATATACTATACTTTCAATCACAACCACATATTGAATGAAATAACGTCATATATTTCATAAATAAAAGTTAAATATGTTCAAAAGTATATACAAAGGAATTAAATAAAAAGTTTTAAATTGTGCTCACATATATTAAAAAATGAAAAAACTTGAAAACCAAGTTCTTGAATTCTTTGACTATATTTTGCATCTCTCTAAGAAATTTCTAACCTGAAAAATAAAAACACAAATTAATTCAAAAGCAGCTAGAAGCATATGAACAAACTAACTATTTGTAAAGATTGTTCTAGTCTTTCAAAAGATAAAGTCGGACTTTTTCTCATCACACTGACTGTTCGTCTCCTGAATCAATAGAAAATGAATAACCATTTTGATTGTTACTAGTATAAATGTTTGAATTACCATATAGATATGATACATGCATAGAATCAAAAAATCCAAAATGAAAATCTTCAGTGCATGACCAGATATTTTAAAGTCATAAAATCAAAATAAAAGCCAACTATTGTTTCAATATAAAAAATAAAAAAAAAGAAAAATATATCACATGGCATTAGAAATGATATAAGCCCAAGCAGTGCTTGTGTGCAAGTCTAAGTCTTAAGGAATGCTTACAGAGGTGTAAAGTGATTCGATCATCTGCCCTTGTTCTTCAGCTCTCGCTAGTACAACATTAACTTTGGCAGCAGCCTCATCAGTGTGTTTTTGGAGTTTTACAATATACACAAGAAAATACTACAATATACACCAGAAATAAGACCCAAATTAATACAAATTAAAAACAAATATCTAAGTTTCTTGCTTCTTATAAGATAAATGACAAACCTCATGGCCAATAACTCCTAAAATTGCAACATAATCTGCATCTGTAGCAGTTTCTGGAGATGCCAAAACAAGCTTGGAATGGAATCTGTGTCAACAACCAAGTCAGACAAACTTCAATCAAATGAAATGCACGGTAGATGGAAATAAAGAGTCAAAAAAATTTCACGAAGTATACATTCAAGCTCTTGCTTTCCATGGCTCCCCTAAAACAAATGCATGAAATAATTAGTAATTTAAAAGGGGAAAATCACAAAGCACATCAAATATTAAGGAAAATGACATACATGAGAAGCATTGAATATGTTGAGACTTACATGTTACAATCTGGAATAGCAACAATATTAAAGAGATCCAGGTCATACTCAAGACCAAAATTTTTCATGTTTCAGCCACATTCTTCACTGCTCGCATAACAATTGCAGCTGCTCTTGCATCCAATCCAGTTGTAGGTTCATCAATGAAAATAATAGAGGGGTTAGCAACAAGCTCCACAGATATCGTAAGCCAATTTCTCTGCTCAGTAACACCAGGCATGCCAACCAAGCAATCTTTGATTTCATCAAGCTTAATGATCTCAAGGACTTTTTTCAAAAATTCCTGCAAAAGATGTGCGACAGCAACAAAAGTAAAATAATGTTTAAACTATTGTTGTAGATTAAAGAGTAAATTTAACTTCCTTATATATAGGTTATACAAATTTAGTTTTTGAATCAATTTCAGGATGCAGACGCAGCCAAGTAGAATAAACCACTGATTCTTTAACTGTAATTTATGGAGAATGTATGTCGGTTTGCTCACGGTAACCCAAAATCCTCGCAAACATCTCCTGAACCATGGGAAACCCTTCAATTCTAATATCTCCTTCAATAGTGCCACTAGTTTTTCTTCCAGTAAGAACATTCATAAGAGTTGTTTTCCCAGTTCCACTGACACCCGTCAATCCTGTAAGAACACCAGGCCTAAATGCACCTGTAATATCACAAAGAAGTTGGAGTTTTTTCTGAGTGAACCCCCTTTCCTTCATTACTAGAAATCAAAGAAAAATAACACAATTAACCAATGTAATTTGATCAAATTAGTTCTAAATATTTAGCAAGTACATAATATTTACAAGAGATTTGTTGATATGATTACCGCAAGGGTGTTAACATAGTATTGCACATTTTGAAACACCAGAGTTAAGGGTTCAAAAGGTAAAACCACTTGACCTATAAAATAATATTACCCACCCTTATTAAGTGAAACAGGGATAAACTTATAAGACGATAAATAAAGGAAAAGAATCATGTGACGCAATGGTTTCAATAATTATAAGAGAATGAAGAAAAATCTAAAAATACACGACCTTTTATGAGACTTTGTAGTATTGTTAGGAGAATTTGTAGACTTTACTTCTGCATTGGCCGCACTGAAGGAATCTTCAGATCCTTGAATTTGGGAAAGCTTTTCATTTGAAATAATAGCACGAGAACTAGGAGCTGAATTCATTATGAAATGAAATAAGCATGTATCACTCTGCAATTCTTATGTTGACTTCATGTAATCAAAAGATAAACTTACGGTTTAAGAACGTTAAGGCCAAGGTAAATCCAATGTTGAAAATTATTATAAATCCAAGTAAGGCGCCAAGTGATATCCAAAATAAGTATCCGTGAAAGTGCAATCCACGGCTTTCAAGTGTTTTTTGCCGTATGGTAGTATTTGCTATCAATGTCTAGACAAAATAATGAAGAGCATAGAATGAATACGCAGATTATGGCCATCTATTTTACTTGATTACTAAATAAACTGTAAGTAACATTACTGGCCAAAAAACAAGCAGTCCCAAAACCTTTGTTAAATATCATAGATCCATAAGTCTGTGCACCGACTCATATATTAAACTTTAAGGCTGTGTTTGGATCTTGGATTTTGGTAGGGATTTGGAAAGGAAAAGAGAAAAGGTGGGTGAAATGTTAGTGAAATATAAGTTAGATTTTTCTCCATTTCCCTTTCCTTCTTTAAATCATTGTCAAAATTCATGATCCAAACACAGCTTAAAAGATCATCACAAGCATCTAATCTACAAATTATGATTACCATAAAAGAGTACAATATCATATTATCTGGAAAAGAAAGAAAAATGACAGAAAGAGACACGTAACTCCAACTAAAATAAACAGTAAGCAGCAATATTACCAACAAGGATTGACATATCAATAAGATGTGCAACGCCCAAATGAAGACAATTTTATGGAAAAAGTACTGGACAACTTAATTAGAATTTTGAACATCCCATGATATCTGGAAAAGAAGGTACAGAGTATAGAGGTTATGCTTGGGAAAATAAAAAATGAGCAATGAGGTATTGGAAAAATGATAAGTTCATTGTAAAAATTCCAAGCATTAGAGCATTGGTGAAAATAGGTGGAGTTCAAGCTAAAGAAATGTGGTTCTTGTGAGGATAATCAACTGAACGGAATTCGTGTTGTCTACCCAATAAATTGAGAAATTTTGTTGCTAATGGTAACTAATATAAAGAATGATATCCTATATAATTGGCCTTCCAACATTATTGTTTTAGAAGTGGTCCTCATCTAGCATTTGCTAGTAAGTTGCTGTATCAGCATGAAACTCATAGAATTTGTACAGTGCCACAAAAAGCAACTTGAATATTGTGTTAGTTAGAGAAAGCAACAATCAGATACTCACCTTTTGCCATCTTGGAGCAAGAAATTAATTTAAAGCAAGGCCTATCTCACCATATGTCATTGGGGAAAGCCAAAATCCCCACCTCAACCAAGTTGACATAGGCTACAATCAACAAGACGATTTAAGTTCATCTTCCTAGACAACTATAAAAAAATCAAATTGGAAAAGAGTTACCAAAGCCTTACATTTTGGGATAAGGAAACCACTAAATAAAAAGACAAACAATATCAACATACTCCCATCTGTGTTAGAAACAACCACGGTGTGGAAGATAGATGCTAAGAAACGAAACATGGATGTTGTTACTAAGTGTACCGCAAAAAATAGAAGGAACTAGCGAAAGAACCTAAGATACAAGGCAATGATAGAAATTAATACAACATTAAGATGTTTATATTGAATAGCTTGATATACAATGTTGGGTCCATTTCTTATCAGCTTATGTTTTTGGCACTACTGGTGATCTAACAGTTTGTGTTGGGTATGCGTGTTTATTTGAAAGTACTAGTGAAGATTGCAGCTACAGGATGCCTAATCTATGAAAAAACTAAGTTAAATTGCTGAGTAATTGATACAAATATTGGTACAAATGGTGACAACTTGTTCAAGTCAAAGACATGTTTCAAGGAAAATAATATATATATATATATATATATAATACAAGGAAGAATAAAATGTAAGCCTTGTC